AATATATTTTATAGAGAGCAGAATGCAGTGGTTTCCTCGCATAAACTAATTAGTATTATACAGAAAAATGTGTGAGGATAGTACCTATGAATAGAAAACAGGCTTTAATTAAATGCACCAAGGTTGCTTGGAATGGTAAGAACCTGGGTGATTTTTCTCTTTTTCCTGCTTTTTGACACATTCCAGCTTCCCTTGGGTGAGTCTGGCTGGCTCACAATCCTCATCTGCAGTTATAAAAGCCAAAACTATGGGAAAAAGGAACAGAAAAAAATAAAGCTCTGGAAACTAAGGATTTTCTTTTCATAGTTAATTCTACATAATTAATTTAAGCTGAGCCAAAGTAAGGTCTTTCTTTACCTTAGTGCAAACTCTCAAATGTTCAAATGCAGAAATAATAATATGTTTACCCACAGGAAGCCTCCCTGGGCCCTCCTGGGATCTATCCTAATATATGGCATATACCCCACACCACCTTCTAAAATCCAAAAATCCGTTTTGAATTTTATAACACATCCAGCGCTAAGGGTTTTAGATAAATGGTTTTGTAAAGGAGAAGCATCCCGAACTTGGCTGTTACTCTTCTTGTCCTGCTTGCTCTCACTGCCTGGACAATCCCTGCCCCACCTGCATGCATGCCATCCTGTCTCCCTGTCAGCAAGTGCCCTTCAACCTGCCTCCTCTGGGTCGGCCTCCCTGGCCAGTCCAGGTCCTCCTGAAGAGCCAATGTACACTTGGACATGCATTTTCCCAAGGCATACCAATTTGGGCCTCAAGGAGACTTCCTAACCATGAATTCAGTGGCTGCCATCAGAGCTGCCCGTGAGACTTGCACCTCTTCCAGAGGACTTTCCTCCCTGTCCCTTCTGAGAGTCCTACACCAGGTACAACACTTCATGCTAGCATCCCTCTCTCTCTTGCCTCCTCAAAACCCTCCAGGATAGCTCTTGGCTCCAGAACACAGACTAGCAGAGCTGGGGCAGACAGTGGGCTCGAGTCTGCAGACTGACAGGCTCCACACGTGAGCCTTATGGCACTACATTTAAAGCCACAGAGCAATGCCTGTCACAAAATTTGAGAGATGACATATGGCTATGATGAGTGTTAATGACAGTTGCAGTTATATTACAGTGTACCTCACACATAAACTTCATAAGAAAGACTAATAATTTTTCAATATCTTCATCTAGTCTTAACCCTTGCCTAATAATTCATTTTTTTACCACTTAAAAACACCTTTTAAATGATGCATAAATGCCACAAATTTTTGAGGACGTCTTTAGCTATGCATTACTTCAGCTATGCTCATTTCTAACGGCTCTCCTTTCTTCTTCTTTCCCTTTCTATCTCCCCTGTTATCCCAAAAACCCATTTAAGATCCTTCTTTGTACCTTGAGTCTAACTTAAGGCTTGATGAAGGCAGTGGGATGCACTGGATCCACGAGTGGCATAAAAGTCACTGCTGCAGGAATTCAGACTGACTTCTCACGGTCTTGTGCTTCAGCATCTCTGTTGCCCCAAACATATTAATGCCACAATCAATATCTTATCATCACTGAGGAGACAGAGTAGGCTACCAAAGTGTGCTCGCAAAGATGCCCACCTGGAACCTGTGAATGACCTCAGGTAAACAGGGTCTTTGCGGATGTAATTAAGGCCTCAAGATGAAACCATTCTGGAATATCTGAGTATGCTAAAATCCAATGGCAAGCATCCTCCTAAGAAGAGTAAAAGATACAGACGCAAGAGGAGAGGCCACAGAGGAAGGAACGGCAAAGATGGAGGCAGAGGTTGGAAGGGTGCGCCTAGCCAAGGAACACCAAGGATTGCCATAACTGTGAGAAACTGGAAGAGGCAAAGAAGGATTCTTCCGAGAGCTCTCAGAAGCAACATGGTCTGCCGTGGGTTTGGACTGCCAGCCTCCAGAGCTATGAGAGTAGATTTCTGTTGTCTTAAGCTATCAAGTGTGTGGTAACTTATCACAGCAGCCACAGGAAAGCACGTAGGGAGCCAGCAGTGCTTAGCCTGCCCACCTACGGGTGCCTCACCTGTCTGCTTAAAGGTGAAAATTATACCGCTGTTCATAACTTTTAGCTCTTTTGGGCTTAACTGTCAAACCAGAGAGAACCCTCACCCCCTTGGCAGGACTGGATTTGACACGTGGCTCCTGAAAACAGTCATAGAGAGAACAGTGGCTTTTGCAGAGGAAATGCCACCCAGCACTTGAAAGCATGGGGCACCGTAGCCAGACTGGACCTCTGGTCTTCCCGTTCATTAGCCTTGCAGCTCTGAGCAATGGCTTATCCTTCACACTTCAGAGTGATACATGAGCACTCAAAAAATGTTAGCTCCTATGGAGCTCCAACTTTGGAGGTTATGTCTGCCCCATCTTCGTACCTATTTCTGCAGGATAGTTATCTCTGCTGACTTATCCCTTACCATAGTAGAAACAGACACCCCATTCCCAAGCTTAGATGACCTTTTAGTTCAAAATCCACAACAGCAATTAAAACCCTTGTATCACTTATTTCAATTTCCTGAGAGAGCACATACGTGTTAAGCTAGTGTGCACACTAGCTATCACCACATTAACCTTCTAAAGCTAGAAAACAGTCTCTCTGAAGTAGGTGTACGTAGGAGGGCAATGAATACACCCTGGCTTTTTAATTTTTATATATTCAAATGTACTTATATCTTGCTTCATAGTGTACATCTCTGATTTCATATTTTAAAAGTATCTCTTACTTTAAGATGATAAATTTCCTCATATCTTTGTCTGTGTGTGTGAGAGAGAGAGTCTTCAGCCTCTCAAGTGCTGGGGTTACAGGTATGCATCACCACGTCTGACTCTTATTATTTTACTCTATAATGTAACTGAGATTTATTTATTAGAATGGCATTTTTCTTTTCTCAAGAACTAGCTATTTGTCCTCAAATGGCTTTTTGAATGACTCATATTTTTCTCACCAATTTGAATACTCACACTGCTAACAATTATAGCATTCCCGGAACGCTTTCTATGTGCCAGAGCTTGTGTTAAGTGTATTACATGAATTATTTCAGTTTGGTAATATTATTGTTCACATATCATAGCTAAGAAATGCCATATTTGGGATTTACATCCAGGTCATCTAACTCTAGAGCTCATGCTTTTAACTACTATGCTATTCCTATGAATAATTAATTGGCATCTATTTTGGGCTTCAACAATAAGAAAAAGTGTTAGCATGGGTGGAGGTTCAGATAGGGTGGGCTCCACGGCTGGTCTGGCTCTCACTGAGTGTCCCCGACTGCCCTGACCCCACCCTGTCTGGTGTTCGGCCCCTCCTCGGCCCCTCCTCAGGCTGATGGTGAACACACTGCAGTAATTCCAGCCTCCATATTCATGCACAAAATGCCCACCAGGACAACAAGGGTCGGTACTCCCAAAACCAGTCCCTGGAGAAGAAAGAGCTTTCTGAGACACCCCAACAAAATTCTTTTCAAGTCTCGCTGGTCCAAAATGGTCCACATGCCATTCCTGTCTCAATCATGGGTAAAAGGAATGAGATTAAGTGTAGTATTCGCGCTTGCCCTAGAGTCAGAGATGGTGTCAGGTTTCCTCGGGCACACAGGCCACACAGAAGCGAGGAGAACCATCAGTAAGGATTAAATTCAGCTCTCTTTTGACAAAATATAAAATACAACTATTGAAAGCACTGGCAAATAATAGAAACCAGACAGAAATTAGAGAGTTGTTAGCCCTTGGAAGAAAGAAAAGACATTAGGCGAGTTTCCCAGCTTCATAGCTTTATGCCTAAGAGTACCCCAGCCAGTGCCATATCTGGACCAGAAACCTACATTTTTCTAGATTGAAGCAGCAGAGGAAGGAGGCCTGGGTTATGATGGCAGCCAAAACACGGAGGGGAAGAACCTTGGAGGGGAAGAGCCACAGGCCCATTTCCCTGAAAATAAGACCTGACCAGAAAATAACGAGCCCTGAAAACTGGAGATCAGAGACGCCAGCCTGTCCGCCTGTCCTCACCTTCCCTGCAGGCACCTTCCTCCTGCTTTGTGGCTCTTCTGAGGTGGGCAAGGCGCAGAAGGGCTGGCGTTTCCGAATCTCACTCCAAATCTCTGCTGTCCCTGAACCCCTCCCGGGCAGTGCAGGCACCAAGCAGCCAAGCTAAGACGCAAATAACTAAGATTTCAGTTGGTGCCCTCAGCAGGAGACACAGAGTCTCATCCAAGTTAATGGCTCACTTCAAAAGAAAAATCAAGACCCTGAGGGAATATGACAAAATCCAGAGACTCTGTAATGTTTCTTCATAATATCCAGGGTACAGAGCAAAACTGCTCTGCATACAGGAAGCGGAAATGTGACCATAGGAGGAGGGAAGCAATCAGTGGAAACCGATCCTAAGATTACCCAGATTTGAAAGCAGTTGTTCCAGCAAGGCTCAGAAAATTGTAACATCTCAGTCCACTTCCATTCTCACCTCTCAGAAAGTGCATAAAGGGTAGGTTATCCTGTTCCACATACGTCCACATAGCCTCCAAATCCGAAGCGGCAATCAGTCAGGTAGTGAAGGTTAACATCTGTGTAAAAATCAGAAGCAGGGATTTTCAATCCCCTTTGTGCAAAAGTAAAATGCTCCCTTGCGCTATGGATGGTGGGCTCCGAGTCATGGAGAGCTCCGCTCACCCGGTGTCCCCAGCTCTCCTGGCGGGAGGCGGAAGTGTCGGCAGCTGGGGCGCTGCATGGCTCTTCAGTAGCCCCGCTTATTTACCACGCTTACAAAACTTAACCCATCCTTCTCCAAGGACACCTGTCTTACAGCCCACCCCACCCTCTGTACCTTTGATACCTTGATGATTTTCACTTCAGAAATCCAACAGGGCAGGATAACTTAGGGAAGAGTGAGAAAATGAAACTCAGAGGGCAGACTCCATAGGGTGCTACAAAGCCTGCTACAAACCAGTGTGGAATACCTTGTTAACCGCCCCTTCCGTCTATCGTTCAGGGAAAATACCGCACCCTCTGATTGCTCCCTATTCTGCCAGCAAGTTCGCTCTGGATGGATTCTTCTCGTCCATTAGGAAAGAATTTGCAGTGACCAGAGTCAACGTGTCGATCTCTCTGTGTATCCTCGGCCTCATAGACACAGGTAAGCTGAAGAGGTAGGAGCGCATGCCGGCAGGGCGCGCCTGGCACAGTGGGGAAGAGGAGCATGGTCCTCCCTGGTCAGGAGTGACGCACGCTGGCAGGACAGAAAGCGCATGCGCGCTCAGGTAATGAAGCACCGGCACCACGGGGGATTTCTAGCCACCCTCTGACCTCCCTTCCATGCCACCCACCAGTTTTGCTGAACGACTCCACGTTCTCCACCTTATTCTTCTCTGAACTCCTTATGTCCTCATGGACTCCCAATGGCCATTACCTTTCCATATGAGACTCATCAAATACATATGTATTTCTCTTACTATCAATAGTAATAAGACATACTGAAATTATAAACCCTTTGATAAATTCTGAGAAAGACACAGTATTATTTTTGTGGCAGTCTTGACAAAAATGTGCAAGCTCACCCCAGCCATAAAAGAATAATGGACAAATTCAACCCAAGGAACATTCCTCAAAACAGCTGATCAGTACTCTTCAAAGTGTTGGGGCCATGAGAGCAAGGAAAGACAAATACTGTCACAGACTGAGGGAAAAATAAGAAATTACTTCTAAGTGCAATCTTGGAGACAATTCTAGAACATAGATAGGACATCAGAGGAAAACCAGTTTTGTAATTTAGTTAATTCTGATGCACATCTTGGTCACTGCATAACGGTTACATATGATGCTACAACCAGGGGAAGGAGAGTGGGGTAGATAGAGAACACTGTGTACCTTTTACAGGTTTTCTCTAAGTCCAAATGCAAGTCCACCCGAAACATGCAGTAGATATTATAAGAAGTTTTATTTATTTAAGAGTCATTGAATAACAGTTAAGGAGATAGGCACAGAGTGAAACAACCAAGAAATGGAAAGAGGAGGAAGCTAGGCAATACGAAAAGGTCAAGAAAGCTTGGAAGGAGAAGGACCAGCAGTGGTTTCCTTCTAGTGGAAGAGTGGACCAAAAACCTGAGTTGCATCTTTCCTTTTACGAGTCAGTAGGTTGTTATCACACAGCCCTCTGGCGTCTTCCCACTGATGCCTCCCACTAGCGGCAGGACATCATGTGACCTCATTCTGTGCCCCAACACACATATAAAATAGCCACTCGAGGTGCATGGTTCAGCCACCCCACTGACCCCCTCTCGGTGCCACCACAAATCCCCACCAAGGCGGGCAAGTCCCCTACTCCTACTAGCGCCAAGGCCTCTGTCCTTGCCCCGCAGGCTGTTACTATAGCCAGCTCTCCGTGTGCTCTCTGCAGGCCTTGCGGGGCTCACACACTAGCAACAGGTCCCAGACGGTTAGCGTGGTATGGGCTGGTCGCCCGTCACAGGCTCGACTAGTCTTGGTAACCCCACCCACCCTCTGCCCCTTACAGAGACAGCCATGAAGGGGACTTCTGGGGTTTACGAAGGCTATGCAGCTCCTAAGGAGGAGTGCGCCCTGGAGATCATCAAAGGGACAGCCCTGCGCCAGGAGGAAGTGCACTACAGCTACATGCCCTGGAGCTCAATCCTGCTCCAAAACCCAGGGAGGAAGGTCATGGAGTTCCTCTCCACAAGGATGTTCCGATGGGACAAACTGAAGAGCAACCAGAAATCCCCTTGAAGGTGGGCATGTTGAAGGATCTCGGGACTCTTCTGCCCATTCCTGAAGGCATCTTCCCAGAGGGACAACTGAAGTGTTCCCAGCAACGTGCAAGTCAGGGTACCTCTCACAATTGTGAGGCAGTCTTCCAACACTTCCACGTGGAATTGTAATTATAATAAGTGTCATGAATCACTTTACAGCCTGAAGTTTAAAACTGATAGTCATCATAGGTATGGTTTTATCAAATTCACCTCTTATAGTAATAGTATGATGCTTAACACAATATTAATTGTAATAAATGTCACGTGAACTTTATAAATTCAACACTGGTAGTTTAACTTGAGTTCATTCAGTATGATTCCTTTAAGACCACAAAAATAGAAAGGAAATTTGCCAATGTCCACTTCCTTATTTTGTGGTCTGAACTTTTCATTTGTTCCCGAGTTGAAGAAACCACCATACTCTTCAGAGGGAGGGCATCCTGTTAATAATTTCCATGTGTTTCAGATAGTCTCCATATTGCTTGCTGCACATTGCTCCCCTGAGAAGGAAAACCTGGACAGGAGGCAGTAAGGCAAATTCAGGGAACATTGCTCTCAGAGTCTAAGCACACATACTGTACATGGAAATGCTCAATTTCATATTGGAAGTTTGGAAAGAAAGAGTCGGAGTTCAAATCTCACCATTCACTCTGTCAGTCAGTCCTTCACTCAACAAATATGTATCAAACACTTGCTAGGCATCACCTGGCTTTGACCCAATTGGAAGCAAAATGGCAGCTATATCAACAACTCAGCAAAGCCCTCTATTGATCAGGACCCAATAGGTGAGAGCCCCCTCTTGTTGGGTCATTTTAGTATAATTAATAAAAGGGAGACTATTTACAAAACTGAACAAAGCACAAGGAAATCACAAGCAACCGCACAGAATCTCAGGGCTATGTGTAGCTCTTTCCACCCAGAGGCTGCTGAAACAAAAGGAGAATGCTGTTACTCCACAGGGAGAGATCTCTGTGCACTGTGTCACTTGACAGAAGCCGTGACATCTGATTAAAGGACGTGATCAGCCCACCGAAGACCGGGAGGAGGAGTCTGGGGACCGCCCCCCACCCGTCACTCTTTCCCGGCTCTGACCTCTGGCCCGTGCTTCCCATTAGCAGAACAGGGGACCTCAGGAGCAAACTGGTACCACAAAGGTCAGCTTCCCCATGCACCTAGCAAGCGGGAGAAGATGGAATGTGCTCTGGAGGGATGAGCTCACACAACCAAATGCAGGGCTTCCCTCGGGAGTGATGCTGGGATATGGATGCGTGGGGAGATTTTCCTTTTCCTGCTTCTGAATATAAATAGATGCAAATAGATTAGAGCCTGTGGAGCCTGCCACCACGTAGACATGGAGTGGGATCTGGGAGTGTGAATAGGCTGAACTTTTCTTTGAAAGTCCTTCCTAGGCTCTGCCCAGTGCAAGGCAGAAGGAAGGAGCTGACTGCTACTGTGTGCAGGAAAATGGGCCAAAACCATGAACTTTCATTTCCTGAGGTAGCACACTAACACACAGTGTTTACACGTGCACACTCAGAACATGTCACTTAACAGATGTCTTGGTTTCTGACCAATCAGATCAATATTGCTCAGTGTCTTGTAGAAATGGGGATCCCTTTCCCGGTCAGCTGGGTGCAGTAAGTGTTTTTCTGAAGGGCAGAGACAACAGTAAAGCTGAGTTAGAATTTGCCCAGGAGAGGTGAAAGAGGCTTTCCCCAGAACCCAAGGGGAAGATCTTAAAATTAGGTCTGAGAACTGAAACCATCCACATCCACAAAGCTTATTATCTTCACAAATGTGACATTAAAATTCCATTATCCTTATCAGAATGACTTTACCCTTGCAAGAATCCCCTGTCTGGGAAGACCTATTTAAAAATGCTTAACTCTTCAATAGATAGCATCAAATGGCTGTGAACGCCCTGACTCTTTGGAACCCTTACTTCAAAACCTAGGCTGCACTGTGACCCTTCCTTACCTCGCTGAAGCCACACCTTCAACTGGACTTTCCCTCCGCTCTGAGGCTGGCGCTCCAAGGAGGTAGAGCTCCCCTGAACCTGGGAATCAAGAGGCTGGCTGTGCTCATCAGCCGCTGTCTCAGTGGGGCCAGCATTCAGCAAGCCCTTCCTGAGAGGCCTCTTCTGGGCTTCTTTCAGTTCCTGACCTGCTCTCCTGCCCCTCAGATGTCTGTCCCTATGGTTCAGGAGCCAGACTTCCAGCAGTTGCTGCCAAGTTCCCATTTTGCCACGGTACCAGCAGCGCAGCGGCCCGTGTCATGGAAAGTTCCATTAAAGAAGTGACCCTTCCTAGCTCCATTATCATGCACATACATGTCCTTTTCACACGGCACGCGGAATCCATACAGCATCCCTCACATCCCACCTACACTGACACAAGCCCAACATCACTCTGCGGTTTCCAAGTGGAATTATGCTCTCACTGAAAGCATTAGTGAGCAAGGAAGCACCTCCCCAGCGTTTCAGAGGGCAGAGAGAAGAGTAGGTCTGTATTCATGCACTGCTCATCACTGGGCTGAGAGCTGGCCCTCTGCTGGTCCCTCTCAGAGTGCTCCCTCAGGGTGCCGTCTCCACCTGAGTCTGAGCCCAGATCCAGTCTCTCTCCTCCTTCTCCCATTTGCTGAGCACAGCTGACACTGGCTCCACCTCGAGGCACTCAACAATATCTTATTTTTAACAAAAGTAACATCTTCCTTCCCATGAAGCAAGTTTTATATTAAATACTAAGGAAATGGCCATTTCACCAAATGTTACATTTGCAGTAGCCCAAAAACTGAAAATAACCTTTAGTCTCCCTAAAGAAAAATGTTTCGAGGACATCAGTGTTACGAAACCACTATGTCATAATAACAAAGGATCGGGTGGACTTACACACTCACACAGAATGAACTCCAAGGCACACGGAATGGGCCTGGTGGACGCATGCGTGTGTGCACACGTGTGCAGCAGGAAGGCTAACTAGCACAAGGCGTTATTCTAAGACACGGGCAAGTCTTCCCTCTGAGGAACAGACCTATTGTTCTTCGAAATGGTAGTGTTCAGGGTTGAACTGTATCCCCCACAAAATATGCTGAAGTCGTAAGTGCTCGTGCCTCAGAGTGTGAAGTTACTTGGAAACAGCGCTGCAGGTATAATGCGGTTAGGGTGAGGGTGGACAGTGCGACTAGCATTCTCACACGAAGGCGGCCACGCGAAGGAACGGCACCCAGCGAGAACACCATGACAGGACAAAGGCAGAGTGTGCGGTGAGGTGGCTGCAGGCAAAGAACGGCAAAGACTGAAAACCTCCACCAGCACGTAAGAGAGGCAAGAGAGGAGTCTGTCTCCTCTACGGTTTCAGAGAGATTTGGCCCTGCCAACAATTTGATCTTGACCTTCTAGCCTCCAGGACTGTGATTTGATCCATTTCCATTATTTTAAGTCACCTAGTTTGTGGTCTTTTGTAACTGCAGCCAGAAGAAACTAGTATGGGTGATAATAACATTAATTATGGCTTATCAACAAAAACAAGCCAAGGGGTACATATCCTGAATTTAACTTCTAGAAATACCAATGCAAGAATGTGACATGATTAAAACAGACTCATGGGCTGGGAACATAGCTCCGTGGGTACAGTGCTTGCCTGGGCTGCCAGAGGTCCTGGATTTAATCCTGAGCACCAAAAAAAGAGAGATCTACATCACATCAAATCCACATCTACATCAAAACCCACTGTAATCTCATCTCACTCAAAGCAAAAGCAAAGTCCTTCCAGAGGTCCACGGCTCTCACATGGCCTGGCTCTGGGTCCGCTAGCAGCCCTCAGCTCCTACTGACCCCCATCTCCAGCCATGTGTGAAGCACGCTTTTGTTTCTGTACGCCTACAAGGACCTCTCTTCCTTCAGGTCTTCCCTCAAACACCAGCTTCTCAATGAGCCACTCGTTAAAGTCTCACACCTGCTTTGGCATGTTACATCTCCCTTCTCTGCATTTCCCCCACCTTATCTCTTCCAATTAGCTATCTTGTTTGGGCATTTATCTTATTTATTGTCTGTCCCTGTTCCAAATACTATGGCTGCATAAAAAACCATCCCAAAACTTGGTCACGTAAAACATGAGATAACATTTGCATGACCCACAAATCTGCGGTCTGGACAGGGCTCAGAAGGGACAGTTAATTTCTGCTCCATCGGCAAGGCGCTCAGGTCTGAGTCTAGGGTTATCTGAAAGCGGATCATGCTCATGTCCGTGCCTGAGCTGGAAATGCCTGGACAACGGAGGCCTGGAACAGCCATGGACCGTGGACTCTCTCTCTCCCTCTCTGTGCTCTCTCACAATGGCAACTTCAGGGTTGCCAGACTTCTTACAGAGCTCCAAAGGGACAAGTCGCAAGAGGAAATCCCAGGCAGAAGTTGGGTCACCTTTAGGACTCGCCATGCACTTAGGGTCAAGGCGTTCTGAAGAAGCGCCAGCTGTCAGCAGAGGGTCAGTGTCACTGGAAGAACATGTGGGGCGGATCTCGTGCCAGGCAAGCCATCGCTGGAAACAGCAGGCCACGGTCCTGTGTAGCACTGGCTTTGAACCAGACTCAGGTCAGCTGCTTGCTCCTTCAGAGGCGATGCAGAACTCAGGAGGTGAGAGTGGGTGGGAAGGAAATCAGGGGTGCTCACGGCCAGCCCTGAGAACATGGAGGGGCTGTTGTTCCCAAAGCCCCATCTTAGAGAACTCAGGGGCACACAGGGCCTTTAAAGGGAGGAGCAGGAGGAGCAAGGGGCAAAGGGCAGAAGACTGGTGCCAAGCAGGGTCTGCATCCCCCAGGGCGTGTGTCTCAGCTAGACAGGACAACGATGACGATGATGTCCTTTTTTTCTGCAAGTTAAACCACAGCTGTTCACACACCCTGTGCTAGACTAGCACAGAATTAAAGACTAAGTAGGACCATCGCACTTTCCGATGTTATAAAGGTCACCACGAGTTGTGGGTTCTATAAATCTAAAGAAAGATTATTTAGCAGTGAACATTTCAGTCATTTTGGTGTGGCTTTTCTTTAGAACACAGTAGGCCAGGCAAAAGCAAGGGTGGTCAGGGAGCACCTCCCAAAGAGGCAGCCACTGCTCGAGCTTCCCGAGGGCCGGAGTCCTGTCTGCTTAGCTCCTTGTACCTCAGCACCTAGAGGAAGCCTGGCCACAGGAGCCAAGAAGGCCAGGGTGTCTGATGCAAGTGATGCACTGTAGCCTCGGACCCAGAATCCAGCTTCTGAAGCTGACGGGAAAGAAGCCAGGTTCCC